AATGATCCAATAAGACATAGTGTTATCAATGTCATCATCCATGGAATTGGATATCTGCTGTAGTAGTGGGTCACAGTCACCAGGCAGTAATGATCAAATAAGACGTAGTGTTATCAATGTCATCATCCATAGCATTGGATATCTGCTGTAGTGGTGGGTCACAGACATCAGAGAGTAATGATCCTTATATAAGAAAATGTCACCAGCAGTACCGGAGAGAGGAATGTAGACAGCCATCTTCAGACAGCAATAAGAATTACGACCTGGAAGACGGAAACAAAAAGCGCCTATCACACATTAAAATATATACTATCAATACGATGTCATTTTTTACACCAGCTTTTTATATTCTGTCAGAAGATTCAACTTGGGTATAGAAATGAAATATTCCTCCTTCAAAGTTAAGTGTCTTTTAAAAGTTAACATTTTACAACACTACAAAGCATTTATTACAAACCAAGAGTCCCATGTAAAATATTAAACTCATTTTTTCATTAAACATCCAGGTATCCGTTCATTACCTTTTCAGCTGCTCTGCTAGAAATCCCTGTCCATTCTTCTCCAGACATCTACATAGACATTGGAAGGCCCTCTCCTCTTTGGTAAGCAGAATATTGAGCAGTGTTCTTGTCTGTTCAGGAGACACCACACTGGCTGCTGCTGCAGCTGCCCCCTCAACCTCCTCTGTGTCCCCAGTAGACGGCTTAGAACGTACATACTCCTTCTCTCTGTCAGTGATGATGTCTTCCTGTATCAGCTTGTCCAGCAGGTAACTCAGACATGGTGTGGTAATGTTGCTGACCAGTAGCTCCATTTGCTGTTTCATAGCAAGCTTTTGGTGGGGTTTCATGGCTGTGAAACCTGTGAATTCACAGTACCAAAGATGGTGACATTAACAACAATATATGAACTATAGACGTAGAATGCATGTTGCTCAAAAAGTTGCTGAATGGTTACATTCAGTTTTTTACAATATAATTATATCGACACATATCCCAAAAATGAAAAATATTGTTTTCTGAAAACCTAAACACCACTGTATTTTCATTGGGTATGTGAATTGTAGTAGTAGGGTCATGCTGTTGGAAAAGATACCAAAAGTTGGACAGGGATAATATCAAATATTCCTAATCAGGCGCGGATTGAATCCGTCTTCTGGGTCTTCTGGAAGACGGTCAGATTTTCAAGTTGACATTGACGGGTATATATTTTTTTTCTGTCAGAAGACGGTCAAAAATGGAGGATGGATCAACAGAAATAATTTGGAAGAGTGTCAGAAAATATCTCTGGATCCGCTCCTGCTAATAATAATCTTACCTGGCATATTAGGATATATTAGGTTAGCTGGAATCATTTCCCCAGTTTTCCAACATGGTACCCTGTCAACAGTCAGCTCAGTCACTGGCGGCTGGTCAATCACTTCACCAGGGAACAGGGTTGGGGTCTCTACATCTAGACTTGTACAGTGAGGACAAACCAGGTACTTGTCACATGGTAAGCCAGGCCAATCTTCCTTCAGGATGTCCATAAGATTGTCATGGTTTTGGAGCAGTGTTCTCCACAGGTCTGGGAGATGTTGACCTCGGACAGCAATGGTGATCACCCAGTCTCTGTCCGTCTGGCTTCTGGTCATTTGCATGCAGTGTGTCGTCATGTCCACAAATACCCCATCTCTCCAGTCTCTCCTCATAGGCTGATAGAGTCCAAGGGTTGAATGAAGGCGCACAGACAATTTCTCATAGAGACCATCAGGACAGCGGTATGGGAAATACACATTCAGGGTTAGTTGTGTAGTGTCCTGTGGTACTAACTGAGGCCACTTGGTGTCCATGATTGGCGGTCGGCTTTGTTTCAGTAGCCATGGGAAGTGAAATGTGGCACCATATTTGCCGTCGTTCACCTTAAAGCATAACTCCAGCCTCTGCATGAGCTCCACCATTGCACTGGCTTCCCTGGCTGTCACACGAAATGGTTTCCATAGGGCCTCCATCGCCTGCATAGAGAGAATTCCCCTCTTACTGAAATCTTCTCTAATTCTCTCTGCCATGGGTTCACTGACAATCATTTGTTTTAGAAACTCAAATTCGCTCTTGTTGTGGTTGAGGACTGCCTTCAGGAGATCAGCTATAACTTCCTGTCTGTGGAAGATAGTGTTTCTAAGGATTGGTCTGCTCGCATACCAAATAATTTCACCTCTGTTGGCAAGGAAAGCAAGGATATCATTTACATCATTATCTGTCCTTTGACGAGGCTTTCTCCAAAAGAACTTTATTTTATTAATGAAACCTTTGACAGAGTTTTCTATGTCTTGTTTAATATTTTCCCTGCAAAGTGTGCATTCAATTTTATTTTCTTTTTTTGCATAGATGGTCTTTGCTGCTTCATGCCAGGTTTGTGGTAGGGAGACACCCATTCCTTTTGCCTGGGTAGCTAGATGAACTATGAGGGGTCTTAAACCTTCCTGGGTCTTGGAACTCACCATGAAAATGTGAGGATAGATTCTTGATTCACCATATGCACTTGTAGTCTCCAGTGATTTTATCTTCTCCGTGTATGCTGAAACCAGATATTCATTTTTGTTTTCCTGTGATGACTGTATTCTTTCACTGAGATCTATCTTTTGTCTTTCACACAACTGCTGCCTGATTATCCTTTCATCTGTAATTGCTTCTAGAATAGACGCGCACACAACCTCGCGGGTCCACTCATCAGTTTTATCGAGATGTGTACCAACCAAAGCAATTGTTGCTTTTGGATTATGGGACTGCACCATGTCTATCCAGATTCCAATATGTCGGCTGAAATCGGAGCTGCTGCAGGGGTCATATGTTGACAGGTCAAAGGTGACAAGAACTATACTGTTCTGTGAGATAAAAATGCAGTGTCCAACTCTGTACACATCATGACCTCCGAAGTCATTGATGTTAAAACTGACATCCTCTTCAATTTCCCATAGTGATTGCTCAACAACTCTAGTTCTATCTGCCTCCTCAGTCAGCATGGGTATCCCAAGCCTGAGAGAGCGTGCTAAACTGGTTTTCCCACTTCCTGTCTCTCCCAGGAGGTTTAATTGGATTCTGCACGACGCAATTGTTTTTGATTCCCTGATTTCTGTTAAGTATCTGAATATTGCCTCTTTTCCCTCCTTACACACTGACATGGGTGGTTGCTGCATGGGATTACCGGTCACATTCAGATCGTGAAGTGTAAGTGAAGCAAGCTGGTAGGGTAAATGTGTTATAGCATTCGTGGAAACGTCCAAACTCTTCAGTGAGGTCATATTACTTACATCACTAGGACGTCCGGATACCCTATCCTCTGCATGATGCATAAATCCTAAGATTTTTTCGAGGTTTAAACGCTTTAGCATGGTTTCCACCCTAAAATCAGGAGGGAGTGTGCGTAAGTTGTTACCCCGTAGGTTCAGAACCTCTATGTGTGGTAGAGCACACACTGAAGCTGGAAGCTCTCTGAAGTTATTCAAACTAAGGTTAAGATGTGTGAGATTTTTTAACTTGTAAAAAGACCAAGGAAGAAAGATCAGCTTGTTCCCTGTGAGATTGATCTTCTTCACATTGATACATCTATCAATGGAGCTAGGAATTTGACTGATGCTGTTGTCTGCTAGCTCCAACACTGTACACTGGGAGACCATGTCTAGTATTGGTGCTGGTTGACTCTCTAAACATTGTAGAAAGTATAATACTTCCACACCTCCTATAACTTCTTCAGCCATGATGTCCTCTTCTCTACACTCCTGATAGTCCTGGGCGCTCTGCATTACTGAAAGGGATGTATTTTATGTTCTGATATTAGGCCTATATAATTTGGTTATAAAATAGAGGAAAGCACGGCAGTCCTATCTTGACTCTTTAAAGAATGTAGAATATGAATTCATCTTCTGTTTTTTAAATAAACATTATATATTCCCATAAAGCCTCGGTCACAACCTGTCGTACGGGCCCTTACGGCCTGTTTGCGTCCATATTTTGCGCAGAATCTCACGTGCAACACAAGGCCCTCTTGCGAAATTTGGAGTTCGCAGGCAGCCCGTATGCACGTACGGAGGATGTTGGACATGTCAAAAAGATTCTACGAATAATCTGAGAACAGCGAGGCCGCAAACGACTTATCTTATTTATTAACAGAGCTTCGTTACGCTTGTGAACATTTGGCTAAATAAATATAGTGAATTTTTGCCACCGAATTTCAACTTGTGCATATCAATGGACCACGTTGCCTCCACAGATTGGAATACTGTAACTTACTGGTGCATGTCGTTTTAGGATGAGTGTGATTACCTGTTGTCCCTGACATTATAGTTTTATGATGTCCTTGTCGTGTATGTCTTTGGCTTCACACAGGGGGGTGGTGACATCTGGACGTGGTGCAGCTGAGACACATGGGGGTTCATCAGGGTTTTCCTAGGTTAGGGTGTGACTAAGATCCTTGCTCGGTTCTTTATATGAGACGGTGAAGCAGCGCTCTGATCTCTGTCACTCTCACTGCCAGTCACTGGGGTTAAAACTTCACTGTCCACTGGGCCTGGAATTCAGCATAAAGAAAAATCTAGACATACTTGGATTTTATTAAGTCACTTGAAAATGACACTATACAACATAACAGGCTATAACTACGTCAGTTAGTACTAGCAAAATTAATGGTACATATCATGCAAGACTGTTAAAACACTACAGTAATGCAAACGATTTCAGTAATGCTGGGATTGCATTGCAGCATATTGCCTGGATTTTTTTTAATTCGGGTTTTTCTCTATTCCTGTCACAAATCATCTGTACATTTCTTGAATTTTTGTGTACAAAATACACAAATGTCTTATCATGTTAAAATTTTTAATTTATAATTGATGGTATGGTGGTATATTGTTGTACATATGCACTGTCGCTGACGAATTCCTCCATTTTCAGTAATATATATTATTACACTTAACAAAATTTTCAAACTATTAGTTGCATCTGAAAGCAAAACGTGATCAACAATGGCAATATATGGAAACACAAAACAAAATTGCAACTGGATATGAAAGAAGTTTTTTCATTAATTACAAAGTTGGAATGCTTGTGAGCGAAGTCTTTCATGGTAAGAAGTGGTTTCTTCGAAGCTCTGTGGAAAGAAAAATATATTTCTGCTTACAATGTATAGATTGCAAGTATCATTTCTCCCCATATTTTTAGTAACAAGGTTTTAAAATATTTCTTTTGAAAATGCTTAAATGCTTAATATACCCCTTTTTATATAAATAAACTGTACATGTATTTCATTAGTGGTATCTCCATCCAAATTTTCATTTTTTTTCTCTATAAAAGACCGTTAACACTTTTCGTACATATTTCATTTGCTTGGTGATTTTTTTTACTCAAGTTTTATTACACTTTAACGATGCTTGAAAGACGTGGGAAACGTGACTTAACTGAACATGATATCACTCTCATTGACAGCTAGTTCCCTAACTATAAGTAACTTGCAAAATTAATACGGTTAGTAACATGAACGTTGTTAGTTATCAAAACGTTTGCGATGTAACTGTAGGAAATTTACAAATACTGAAGTTTTCTTGAAATATCCATTAGACCTGCAGACTCAACGGAGTCAAGGTAACTTTAGCCCCATTCCACTTCTATCTTTATAATATAGTGCACCACTGTCTGAGAGAAATGTGTACAGCTTTTTATACCATATCTCTGATAGAGAACAACGATTTAAACTAAAATGCAATGTTTCAAACTGTGCCTCGACTAAAACCGCACATGATCCCCAGAGACAGCCCGCCTGGATTACGTGGACAGAGTCCACATGACTCCATCCCATCCCACTTCTATCTTCATTGTACATTTCTTGGGGAAATGTTTCAGTATTTCATACTGGGTCTGTGACTTAAAACAATCTGTTAGGAAAATGTGTTGCTGTTTCAAGATTCAACGAAAATTGCTTATGATTCCCAAACCCTATTTCACCACACATTATTCGTGTTTAACAGCCCTGATCTACTTCCCAAAGCAGAGAGACAAACACAAGCAAACATTTAAAATTAGGGAACATCTTGGACGAACATCACCCAAGGGTACTCTAAAGCAAACATACTCGGTATCATACAGCGCCCTAATTTTATATGTTATAAATAATTCAAGAAAAGAATTAAAGTAATTTCTCTTTTTGGTACAGGTACACGTTTAACTTCCAGCAAAAAGTGTCAGTGGGTTGTCCCACCGACTCGGTAGTAGGACTAAACCTGGTTCAAGGTCAAGTGACACAATATTAATATTCGTGAAATACTCTTATTTAGGTGTAAATTTATTATCTTTGGAATTATAGGTAGTTCTACCTTCCCACTTTGTTAGCTTAAATCGCGCCATATTATGTTACATACGATAATTGTATTTGTGCTTCAGATAAATCTGTAAACACACCAAGAAGTTATATTACCTTGAATATTTTACTTGTTACATACTGGCAACGCAAATACAAAAGGGATAATAGTAATACATTAATTGTGTTGTTCTTATATTATATGTAAAAGCCATGGTAATTTATGTACCGGTGCAGAAGTACTATTACTTAAATTTGTAATAATGATTATAATGTTTTAAGGTTCTTGTCTATATCTTACTGTACACCGACCACCCCTTGTAATAGTCTCAGATAATTTGGAATCTGACCCTCATTTGCTACCCTGGGACAAGCTTATTTTTGTCACAGCAGTGGGAAATAGGTCAGGTCAATGTGATTGAAAAATAACACCTGCAATTCAAAAGAACCTACAACAAAGCAGAAGATTATGGGCCAAACATTTTATTTACACCTTGCAAAACATAGAAACAGGTGTCCCTGCGCTTAATTGTGCGCGTAACAGCCTTTGTCAAAAGTCACTGCTCGAGAAAATGTTTCTGTGTATTTTCTCCTCTGTTTCACTCCGGCGTTGTGTAAATAGTAATATTTATTGTTTGTTTTAGGTCTTTTAGAAAATGACACAATGACAAAGACAGCGTGCAGAAGTAAAAGCTTGCATAGGAGGGCGCCAGTTTTGTGCAGCCTACAGCTTGTTTGAAGCTCTCAATTTTAGTCGTTTTTTTTACCTGGTTCTGGTATTTTAGATGCATAATTCATAGACTGTGATTTTAGTGATTGATCCAAGATTTCAATGTATCCACTGGACGCTCTTTTTACTGCTACATTTTGGAGCTTTTGGACATTTTTTTGTTGGTGGACTAAGTACATATGGTGCAGCTATAAGTTATTCAACACAAGAAAGGTCACCAGTATACAGGTCAAATACTGCTCAGTCTGAGTTGTTGTCAGAGTTATTGACCACTCAACCACAAGTCATGGCAATTAGTAGCTTTGGGACATTGAGTAGAAGAGTGCCACCCATCACTTACTGTAGAAGACAGCTTTTTCATCTACAACCGGAACCAACATCTGATGTAAACAATCTACCTAACAATGTCAAGAAACTGCTTTGTAAGTTCAAAATTATCAGAAACTGTAGAGGAAGTAAAGGAGGAGTTGGACGAAATAGAAGGATAAAATATGTATCAAGTAGAAGAATAACATCTAGAACCAGTAGAAATGGGAATGATGATTATCAAAGTGGTGTAAACTTTCATAACTTAAAGTATGTGATAACTGAAAGAACTGTACAGGTACCCACAGTCAAGTTGGCACTTATGAACTGTAGATCAGTGAGGAATAAGGGGTCTATCATACGTGACTTGGTGAAGGATGACAATATTGATTTAGTCTCCTTAGTGGAAAGCTGGATAACACCCGATCTTCAACATTATATGCTAACCGATATTACCCCAACCAGTGTATTCATATACCTCGCACGATTCGGAGAGGGGGTGGAGTTGCTTTTCTTTCACAGGGCAGCTTCACAGTAACCCAACAGCCAAAAAGGATTGAACCATTGTCTTTTGAGTACATTGAGGTTTTAGTTACAGCTATATCAGTGACATTGCGTATCATTACAGTATACAGAATACCTCCATCTAAAACCAATAATTTGCGAAAAATGTTATTCCTCAGTGAGTTTTCTGATCTCCTTGAGTACCTAGCACCTCTTCGAGGGAAACTTCTTGTCGTCGGCGTCTTGAATATACACTGGGATGATCAACACATTTCTGAAACCAAGCAGTTTGCTTCATTAATCGATTCATTTGGACTTACACAGTACGTGTTAGATCCCACTCATGTTCGCGGTCATACGCTTGATATGGTATTGGCTAGGGAAAGTGATTCACTTGTAACATCATGTGAGGTAGGGCATTTACTTTCTGACCATCATGTTATCAACACCACGCTTAGATGTGGCAGACCGCACCCCAGTAAGGAGAAAGTCTCGTTCAGAAAAATCAAGGGCATTGATGTAAATGAATTACAACGACAGATTACATCACAGCTGGGTGATTTAAGTTTTGATAATTTGAGTCCTGAGGAATGTGTGCTTCTGTATGACAGGACATTGACAACTGCACTTGACAACCTTGTACCTGTCAAAACTAAAACGTTTGTTAAGAAAGATCTGCAACCTTGGATGAATGATCACATTCTGGAGACAAAGAGAGACAGAAGGAAGGCGGAGAGGAAGTGGCGAGGTAGTAAATTAACTGTCCATCATCAGATCTATAAAGAAGCATGTTGTCATGTAAACAAATTAATCTGTCAAGCTAAAGAAACGTATTATTCTAACAAGATACAAGAATGTGATGGTGATACCAAGGCTTTATTTAGAACTGTCAACACTATTCTGGGAATAACCAA